AACCACTGTGCAGGTACCGGTCGGTATGTGTCGGTTTTCTGTACACCGTGTGGGCCAGCTTTCCGTTGGCTTTTATGGTCACCAAGACATCCAAAAAAGGCAGAAGGATGGGCGACTTTTCGATTCGAAAACTAATTTTAGTAAAAGATCGTGAGGTTCATATTCTTGACATTTTTGGCAATAAAATTTTATAGATCTCCTTGATAATATTAGCACTTTTGCCTCTGATGCCGTGATTTTTGTACATACTTTGCAGATTGGCAGAGAGCAGGTGTCGCATTTAAAAAGATCTTTATTTAATTCCCTTTTTTGCTTACAAATGTCGCACTACATTTTATTCGATCATCTCCTGGACTAAAAACATGTTGGCTACAATATGTGCGAGACGAACAATCGTTGGTATGCCCGTTGATTTTATGGAATTGTATGTACACTCTGATAAAATCTCACTATTGTTCTACTATAAAGTCCATATTTATGAGTGAAATAGCCAATAACTGATGTTAATAGTTGTACACATATATGTAGCATATACATTAGTGTGTGGCATTCGCAAAAAAATCAAGATTTTCGGTTTACTTTTACTATCAAAAACAAGCTTAAATCTCGTAGAGTGTATCGCCGTAAAACCGTCGAACTCAAGCTACGAAATTTTGAAGCAGTAATAGTTTTTGCAAAAAAAATATTTCTGTTTTTTTGCCACTTAACAATGTTAGTCAATTAAAGACATATAAATAATTCTTATATAACAGTCATCATAGTGCGTGGGTATATGACCACAATGATTCAAATGGAGATCTTGTGGAACAATGGGCTGAGTCAAACGGCCTATCACTGATTCATGACCCCTAACTACCTTGCTCCTTTAATAGCAAGATATGGAAACGAGGCTACAACTCGGACCGTTGTTTCGCCTCTGGCAACATTGAGTACAGCAACAGTGTACTGTACAAAAGTTGTCTACAATACTATACCAAAGACGCAACATCGCCCCATTGGTATAAACATTTACAACGCTATAAAAACACCAAGAATCCCATTTAGAAGACGTTTTAACTTTAAAAAGGCAAATTGGAATGCTTTCACAAAAACCCTCGACAATGAAATTTATACAATCGAACCCACTCCAAACAGCTTCGATGTTTTTGTGAACTTGGTCAAGCGCATATCTAAAAAACACATCCCTAGAGGTTGTAGACAGCAGTACATACGCGGAGTAACAAACGACATTAAAAGCCTAATGGAACGATGTAACAAGCTATATGAAGAGGATTCCTTAAACGACGATACCATCGAATGTGGCTCAGCACTGCTAACCGAACTGCGCGAAGCAAGGCAAACAAAGTGGCTGGAAACTATGGAGAGGAAGGACTCGACACATAGTAGTAAGATGGCCTGGAACACAATCAAGAAACTAGCACTGAAACAAAGAACCAATGTTACACCAAACCAAGTAGCCCAACAGCTACTAGTAAATGAGAGAATACAGCAAAAAAGAGAACCTAATCAGAGACGCTGGCAACGAAACTAACCTGCTGGGCGAGGTTTTTACTATACAAGAACTTAACCGAGCAATAAAAACTATAAAAAACGGAAAGTCTCCAGGGGTAGGATGGTATGTTTACAGAACAGGTCAAACATTAGGAAAGGAAAACTAAAACCCGGCTGCAGGCCCTTCTTAACAACTGCTTAAAATCATATACAATACCCAGAATGTGGCGAAGAGCAAAGGTAATTGCGATACTCAAACCTGGGAAGAATCCCGACCTACCAAATAGCTACCGCACTATATCACTGCTATGCCATCTCTTAAAACTCTACGAACGGCTAATCCTCCAGAGAATTCAGAAACACATAGATCCTCTCTTAATACACCAACAGGCAGGCTTCAGACCTGGAAAATCATGCACTGGTTAGGTACTACATATCACAGAACGCATAGAGGAGTTATTCCAAAATAACAGAATAACAGGAGCTGTGTTCATCAATCTCACAGCCGCCTACGATACTATATACCATAAAACCTTGCTTATCAAAGTGTACAAAACCACAAAAGACTACAAACTAACAAAAGCAGTTCAATAAATACCCCAAAACAGAAGGTTCTATGTGGAACTTCAAAATAGGAAAAGCCGCTGGAGAACCCAAAGGAACGGTCTCCCACAAGGAAGTGTTCTGGCCCCCACTGTATTTAATATATACACCAATGACCAGCCCATAATAGAAAATGCCAAACACTACGTGTACGCTGACGACCTATGTCAAACATTCGGGGAGATAGAGGTAAGGCTGGAGGATGCAATAGAAGCTATGGCCAAATACTAATCGAAAAAACTCGCTAAAACCGAACCCTTCAAAAACTCAAGTAAGTGCTTTCCATTTAAATACCCACAAGGCTCACAACAAACTAAACGTGTCCTTGGAGGGCAAAGAACTAGAATACGCTGAAACATCAAAGTATCTGGGTGTAATCTTGGATAGAACACTAACCTACAAACAGCACTGCCACAAAACCAGACAAAAAGTAGTCGCTAGAAATAGCCTTGTACAAAAGCTGGCCGGACGCAAATGGGGTGCAAAACCTCAAGTCTTGAGAACATCCGCGCAAGCTCTCTGTTTTTTAACTGCAGAATATGCCTGCCCAGTCTGGTGCAGATCAAGCCATGCAAAACAGCTCGATATCGCCTTAAACCAAACCTGTCGGATTACTACTGGCTGCATGAAACCAACACCAACCAATCAATTGTACAAAGCAGCGGGCTTGGCGGAACCAAGCCAAAGAAGAATGGGTATAAAGCACGTAGAAAAATTTAAGCAAACCTTCGACGATCGCCATGTCCTTGATGGCCAAGAACAACAACGGAAAAGGCTTAAATCTAGGACAAATTTTCTTCAGTGTGCCACCGTGGAACCGCCCGACAACTTCCCTATCAACTAAAGCCCCTGTGTAGGGTCAAATTTGGACTGGAAGACATGGAGAACGCTAAACAGAATACGAACCGGCGTGGCACCCATAAAAATTAACAAACTAAAGTGGAAAACTGAGGAAGACCAACAGCGCCTCTGTGAATATGGGTGAGGTACAAAACATGGGCCACCTGCTGGGATGCACATTATGTCCTGCAACGTCCTCCATCTATGAGATGTAAATTGCAAATAAAAATGCCATAGACGTAGCCCGGAACTGGGCAGAAAGACTTTGAATGAAACTTTAACTTGAAGAAAGAAGTAAAAGTAAAGTAACTGTTAAAGCGAATATAGCTTTTCCAGGTCCGCATTATCTACTTATCGTGAATAATAATTCCCGTTGTTCTTCACATTTGCGGTTTATTCTCCATAGTAAGATT